TCCTCCTCCTCCTCCTCCTCCTCCTCCTCTGCCACTAACATCGCCGCCCTGCCCCGCCCCGCCCCGTCCCATCGCGGCCCGACACGACCCGACCCGCCGCCGACCATCGCAAATCCAGCGCTAGTTCGCTCGCACTCACTCGGGTTCACCCAACGGCACACATCGCGACGTCGCTAACACACCGACAAAGCTGTCGACCGCTACTATTATTATCATTATTCGTAGGCTGTGTGCACAAGGCGCAGTCGCGCGTATTGAATGCATGGATATGAATTTCAGGGAAAACGTAAATATTGAAAATTATCGTCGAGTCTCCCACGCAACATTGCCAAATCTTTTTTCATACTTTCTTTTTACATGCTGCGCATTACCCATTGCCGTCCCAAGTGTATTTAATCCGTTTTCACACTGTTTACTTAACGTGGGTGGTTAGCTGCATGCTTATTGTGCGCGACATTTTTTCATTTTCTATCTAACTTGGCATTAGCCATTCATTTTAGATAACAACGCAACGAGTCGCTTTTCCTACATTTATAGATCAAGTTGCAAATTTATAATCCTCCGATAGTACGACATTGCTGCATTATGCAGGCGATTTACAACAACTCGCAGAAAGTCTTTAGGAATTGGAATTACACGTTTTCCCATTGACGTAGTTAGTTGCATCATTTCTTAGCGATATTTTATCAATTAGCAATGCGTATAAAATAAAATACCTTGGTAGATTAGATTCGCGGATTATTATAATTTTCTTATTTCTAACTGGTTAACTATATTCTTTTTAATTATCAGGACGGAAACGAAAACAATAAAAAAAAAATAGAATAAAAAAAAAAGAATAAATAAATCAAAAAAAACAAAAAAAAAGAATAAATAAATCAAAAAAAAAAAAAAAAAAAAAAAAAAAGGAACGTAAAGGTAGGAAAAAAATCTATTTATTTTATAGATTCATAATAAAGTGATTAAAATTTTTATTATTTTTCAATAAATGCATACGTTTAAAGTTGTTTCGATATTTCCGAGACTTCTAAGACTCTGTATTTAGAAATTATGTAATATTTATCCGATTGTATGAATCACATTAAATATATAGCTATATATATATATCTATATATATATATATATGATTTGTAAAAAAAAGATTCGAAATAATCATTCATATATTCATAACATAGATTTAAATACAAATCATTATTATTGACTGTCGCATCATTAAAGTTTTCAACATTATTAGCGTATAATAAATAATTCCTGCTAAAATTAAGTCACGTACGGATAATAATAATAATAATTATTATTATTATTGTTGTTGTTGTTGTTGTTGTTGTTGTTGTTGTTGTTGTTAGAAATTAAAGGTTAGTATAAAATGTAGTTACAATAGATATTTTAATCATCATTACATTAGCATTAAACATTTCGACACTTTTCTAATTTTCTAATGTATAATTTTATAAATTTGCAAAAAATTTTACATTGAATGACAATAATTATTAGAATTTCCATCTTATAGAATGTACGGGTATTAATACTAACTGTTAGCCAATGCATGTAAAAGTAAAGCTATTTGAATTTGTTTAGAAATCGTTTCGACAATGCATTTTCAAATCGTAAGCGATGCTTTCAAGCACTCGATAGAGATATTCTAATTAGAATCGAATATAAAAATTGAAATGCTCGGTCCGTTACGACATTGATGCGTGCGATGAAAGATGCGAGCATCAATTAACAGAAGCCATTCGGATAGACTTACGAAATTCAAGTTTTCTCCTTGAAGATCGTTCTCGACTTAAGCCATATAGCATGAATTTTATCGTAGAATTGCAAATCTGAAAATATAGCTGCAATAACAATGTATGCTTTCTCGTAAGAAAAGAATTGCGCGCCAAGGTTCTGCCGTGTTATTGCGTGGTTTAATTTGCTTTCATGTTTAGTCATTCAAAAATGAATTGGCGTATTTCTGAAACGATCAAATTCCTTTATAAAATAATTTTATGTCTGTTTTGATAGTCTAATTCGTGATATTAATTCATGATTAAATTATTTCGAACTTCAAACTAATTTTCATTTACCTACTAAAAGAATACTATTTGTTAAAAAAAGATTCCTTACTTATCATATTATTTACATTTTAAATATGTTTAAAACAGTTTTATTGTCAACATCATCGTCAACTTCGTTATCATTATATATAATATTATTAATTTATTTTGAAATTGAGGATATATTAATGTGTTTTAAGAAATGTCAAATATCGATAGTTTTACACTTAAGAAAGAATAGAATACATTTAAAGATTTTTCTTACGAAAACATTATTACAAGTTAAGATAAAAATTTTTTTTTATTTTACTATGATCTACAAAGCATCGATATAAAGTAATCAAAGTCTATTATGTTTAAATAATTTATATCAATTATACGGCCAAATATTTCACTATGAATATTATATATTATGTAATATTCTTAATTTATATATATGTATAAATATATATATATATATATATATATTTTTTTTTTTAATAATTTTTTTAATGAATGAATTTATTTCGTGAGCTTGATTATAAATTTTCTCTCTTATTAAATATCTCAAGCACATAGAGAATTAGATAAGACTAAATAATTATAAAAAAAAAAAAAAAAAAAAAAAAAAAATGCTTATACATTGAGTAACCACACGACGAAAATTAATAGTCGAAATAAGTTCATAAGACAAATATTGAAAGAAAGCGTTCTAGAGCAGAAAACCGTGTCATAAAATGTTCGTGCATTCTTTTATGTTAAGTATTGCATCGACGCATACTTTTTATTTATAGCGAGCGTCGTATTGGGGGAAGTCGACTCTTTTTAATGGCTGCCAGGCCCATGGAACTTGGAACGACGAATTAAACAAGTCCACTTATGTGCACACTTTTGAGTATATTAGAGTGCATTAAATGCATCAGGATATACACTACTCAAGACGGATTTATGCATTATAAATATATGTACGAAGATCTCAATTTATCAAAGTAATGTACATATCTATAAAATTCATATACCTTCGCCCGATTAATTAAAATAACTAGACGATTCGTTGGCTCATAGAATTATTTTGTATAAAAATATTTTCTTGCTTATATTACATTTAGCTGATTAGAAAGGAAATAAATTATAAATTTGAAACGAATTTAAAACTAATATATAAATTGTAGCGAACCGGATAGCCGATTATTTTTTGCAATTAATTTTTTATAATAATCTAATGAGTCAAGTCATCAAGTAAATTGTTAAAACAATTTATACAACTCTTTGACATTATAAATAGTAATTTATACACATAAAATCTTTTATTTTTTTAATATCCAGTCGATAAACGATTAGAATAATACTTTTTCGAATGAAATTTTACAATTTATAATAATAATATTGTTTGTTCGAGTTATTCGTGAGAAGATTAAAATCTCTGTAAAAGTACGTATTTTATTTACAATATTCTCTTATTTATACCATAATTATAAATAATAGAGTGGTTATGTGAAATCTAGCTAATACTCTATCATAAATTGTATATATGTGTGTGTGTGCGCGCGTGCGTGCGTGCGTGCGTGCGTGCGTGCGTGCGTGCGTGCGTGCGTGCGTGCGTACGTACACACACACACACACATATATATATATATATATATATGTACATATATATACAAACATATGGTACAACAATTAAATTTTAAGATTTTCATACATTTCTTATTGTTAGTAGGGCCAAAAAATATTTTGAAAAAAGGTCAAAATACATCCTTCTCAATTTCATCGTAAGTCAATTGTTTATTGTAAACTCAACTATCGATATATATTATTCAAATTGTTAGATATTTTAATGTACAGTTTCATAATTTCTAAGTATAACGTACGGGATTACTCATAGAATCTAATTTAAATTACGTCATTGTTATAATCAGTAATATACAGAAATATTTACGTATATTCAATGGATTGTTTTATACTTTTATGATCTACGTTAAAAATAAATAAAAATAATATTATAAGTATTCGTAAATTAATTAAAAATAATAAGAAATATCCTAAATTTATTTTATAAATAAAGATAATTAAAAATTTCTTTTAAGTGAATTGAATAGAGACGAATTTTAAAATACGATAAAATACCATTTAAACTTATTTACTTTAACGATTGAGAGTTTTTCAAAAAGTATTTAAAGAATAAGTTCAATATTTTATTGCACTAATTAACATTTTCTCGATTTAAGTAGTTTTTTTTTTTTTTTTTAAATTAATTTACGATTGCATTAATTGGGTGAAATCTTAGAGAAATTTGTAATCTCATTTTTTTACTAAATATAAAGTTTTTAGTCATTGTCGTTAGTATTACAAGTTATTACATTAAATAATTATTTTCTCATAATATTTCTTGTAAATCCATTGTACATTGTACACATACTTTTATCATAGATGATGTTAAAATTTATATGTTTTTATTCTTAAAAATGAAAATTATTAAAAATATATTCCTTTTTTTTTTTGTAGGTTATTTACGTTAAAATAAGCAGTATACCATTGCAGTAAAATAAAATCTTGCAATAAAGGAAATTACTCGATACTATATTAATTTAATTATACTTTGAAAAATCTAATCTAGTAGCTGAATTTGATTGTAAATCACAAAGTAGAAATATAATATTTGCAGTTATAATATTGTATTTATTTATAAGCTGTAAAAATTATATTACATGATAATCATAGTACATATGATCATAGAATCATAGGATATGCTATATTACACCATGTTTTTTTAGACACATTATA